AGAGGAGCAGGGAGTTGGGCTCGATGATCTTCATGGATCCCTTCCAACCTAACATATTGACTTTATGATTCTATGTTAATTATTTGGCCTGATTTGGGATGCACCCTAATTTTAATCTAGCTGCAAGAGAGTCAACACAAGCTAGCTTAGGTTTCAGTAGAATTCAAAAGAACTGAATCAAAAGAAAGCCTATAGAACCATGCTGAATTGTCATCAGGGTAAATACTTAACACCATTATGCTGAAAGAGATGGGGTTGCTTTGAGTGCATCTCTCATTTGATTCCTAACCTCAGAGACCCAAAAAATGACCTGCCTTCATAGTTTGGCAGCTCAATGTCACTGGAAAGCAGATTTCTTTTTTAAGGGGATCCATACGGACATGCAAACCCACCCTTGCTTTTGAGAACTACATCAGTCCTTAGTTTGGTTTTACTTAAACTGAAAGCATTGCGTTAGCAACCGGGAGGACTGGATATTATTAGTAACCTTTTACAGGAAATGTGGTGTGTCATGGGTTGAGCCTCTATTTTTCTGGAAAATGCAGTGTACAGTGAAATGGGGGGGATAAGTAAACACAAAGTGCTTACACAGCAGTTCGCTCTGTTTGAACGCCCAGCAACACAATTCTGAGGTTACCTGCTCATAAAGGAAGGAGGGAACGATATTTGAGATTTATTTTTGGCTAAAAGCATGAAGTGCAAATAGCTCTTTGTGCAAAATGTCAGCGGCATTTCTGGGAAGCAAACAACATTGCCTTAATAATCCGTGGTAAATAACAACACCAAGAACGTTGCCACCTATTATGTGCACCTGCAGGTGTATCTGGATGAACTTATGTAACTGGGGTTTGACATCCAAAATAAATATGGAAAAGTAAAACAAGGAATTTCAAACAAGTTCTTCTGTGAACAGCAGAATTAAGTAGAGGATGAAATTCAGCTTTAGATAACAAAATCTGGATGCCTACATGGAGGATTAATGAGTGGAGAAAGTGTCTGAGCTACCACTAGAGTCTGCAGAGGTCTAGGGCTTGAGCCAGTTTTTGGCAGATGTGTGCAGTCCTAACAAGTCACCTGTAGCTTGTCAGGCTCTGTTATCTGTGTGATTAATTTCTTTTGATCAAAATGAGACTCAGATGCCCCATTAGACCCTCAAGCTTTGGTGTCTGAGTCTGGGGGCAGCTGTGATCCTTGAAGAGTGATTCTGTTTCCTAAACACCACTGGTCTGTTGCCTGCTGCAACACTCTGTCATGCCCTGGCTGAGTGATAGCTGGAGCTTTAGGAAGACACATCTCCTGTAGGTCTGGTGCAGAAGTCTCAGATAACCTCACACAACAGTAGACACCTCTGTTAAGGTAACTGTATTGAACCTGTAAAGTCCAGAAGATTTTTATTCTGTATTTCTTTATCCCCTCCCTTCCTCCAGCTCCTTCCCATGTCCCTAGGTTGCCACTGGGAAGGAGACACATGTTGTGGCTTGTTCCAAGCTCCATCTGCACTGGTGACCTGGGCAGTGTCTCTTCTCTACATACATGCTTATTTTCAGGTCACTTGTACCAATGTGGTTATCTCTGAGACACCATCCTTCCATCCAACTTAACTGAAAACAGCTAAAGTGATTGTACCAGTGACTCTTTCACTGATGGGCTCCCACCTGCCTGGAAGTATATCCAATGCTCTGGCTTTCAACTCCCTACCTGAGTGGGATGTGAAATGAAAGATTGATTCATAGCAGACTGCGGCAATGATTAAGAGGAGACCCACACAGGCTGTCAGTGACACTCCAGTATGATGGACGAGCTAAGAAACAATTAGCTCTAATCTCCCTTTCCTTTAGAGCAGGGCGGTGCTCAGTGTAGCAGTAGTTTGTTCAGCAGTTGGTAATGGACATGGGCATCTGCTGTGCTACCAACTGCTTTCATTTATAATCACAGTGATTGCAAAGAGTACTTCACAAAATAGTACTGACAAGACATTTCAAATGCAGTGTCACCAAGGTGATTAAGACCAGATTTTCCAAACTCCAGTTCACATATTCTGAATATTTGAAATAAGACAGAACAAGGTCAGGGGATGATAGCAAAAGCTTGTGGCTCTTTGGTAAGGCCCAGCTTAATATAAGTATTTTTTATACTGTTTATTTCGGTCTAGCAGGCTTTATCAATTTAAAATGCTATCAGAAAGAGAGAAGCCAGGGGACTTACAGGTATTTCTGGTGGCATTAAGAGATCACAGAGAAAATGTCTTCATGAAATCTGTTTTATTGCTGGAGTGGCAAAAGTGCTGCAGCAGTGCCACAGAGCTGGCACCCACCCACCTTGTACAGGCAGCAGATGAGTTCATACTAGGCAATTTGGTCCTACTTTATTTTAGGTAAATATTTTTTTAGCTGATATTAGTCTGAGACACCTTTGCTGCATTCCCATCATCTCAGGGATCTACCTGTGCTGTGAGCTTCTTGCCCTTGTCAGTCAGGCACAGAAAAGACAACAAGCAGATGTAATATCCCATACACAGCAACTGGTGATCAGCCTGCAAGACGTGTTACTGGGACTAGCCTTCTAGAAGTGGCTGGGTTTATGTATTGGGTAGCATTTTATTTAGGTGGGAGGAGAGAGAAGAGCATAAAAAGATATTTAAATCATCAAATACATCACCCAAATGTGTAGTTGTGTCTATTTTTGCCATGCATTACCAGCAAAGGTAGACAGTTCTGAAGTTGCAGGAACAAGAGGAAGTCAACTTACAGTCTCCAGTTCAGTTGGGATCTTCTCATAATACCTGTGAAAATCTTCAGGATTTTTTTCCTGACTAATAGCATCATTTCCAGGACCAAGCCTGCTCAGATTTGGCCACATTAATCCTGGTTGTGGTGGTTTGGTTTTGCCTGGAGGGAAAAGGTTTTGAAACTGTTTGACCTCTTAGATGTTTGTTCACAGTCACGATAGATTTTCTTCATGGCCCAGAGGATATTTAAATCAATACTATCTATGAAAATGCATACAAATATTTAGAAATGTTTCCAAATGTACTCTTTGGTTTCACTGTCATACATATGTATAGCATTATCATAGAGTCATAGAATCATTTGGGTTGGAAGGGACCTTTAAAGGTCATCTAGTCCAACACCCCTGCAGTGAGCAGGGACACCTTTAATTAGAGCAGGTTGCTCAGAGCCATGTCCAACCTGACCTGGAATGTTCCCAGGAATGGGGCGTCTACCACCTCTTTGAGCAACCTGTTCCATTGTAAACCCTCACTGTAAAAAAATTCTTCTTTTATATCTAGACTGAATCTCCCTTCTCTTAGTTTAAAACCATCACCCTTTGTCCTCTTGCAACAGGACCTGCTAAAAAGTCTGTCCCCACCTTTCTTACAAGCCCTCTTTAAGTACTGGAAGGCCACAATAAGATGTCCCCAGAGCCTTCTCTTCTCCAGGCTGAGCAACCCCAACTCTCTCAGCCTGTTCTCAGTAGGAGAGGTGTTCCTGTTTGCTGACTGTTTCCTTTAACCTTTTCTTTACCTAGTCCAACAGGTCCATCTCTTTCTTAAGCCCCAGAGCTGTACACAGCACTGCAGGTGGGGTCACCAGAGCAGAGCAGAGGGGTAGAATCACCTCTCTCAATCTGCTGGCCACGAGTCCTTTGACTCACCCCAGGATGCCACTGGCTTTCTGGGCTGCGAGTGCACATTGCCAGCTCATGACCAGCTTTTCATCCACCAGCACCCCCAAGTCATTTTCTGCAGGGCTGCTCTCTATTCCACCATCCCCCAGCCTGTATTTATACCAGGGATTGCCCTGACCCAGGTGCAGGACTTCATACTTGCCCTTTTTAACCTCATGAGGTTCATATTTACCCACTTCTCAGGTTTGCCCAGTATATACTACAAAATATAAATATGAAAATTCACAAACCAAAAAGGTCCTGAAAGCAATCTTTCTGTAGTCTCTTTCTACATGTATACACTACCCTTCTGGATGTCAAATAATGTTGCAATTAGTGATTTTCTCCAAGATGGAATACTGGCAGTTACAGGAAATTCATTATACAGCCACTTATGAGAATATTTGCACTATATACATTCCAATGAAAATTTTATCCCATATTCTGTTTCTGAGATTTATCTTTTCTGTATTTTGGGGTGTTGCTGACTGTGTGCCCCAGTAGGAAGGATGTTGCCATTAGCAGGATACATACAGAAAAGAGTTTACCATCCCACTGCAAAGAATATAGGGAAGATATGAGGTGGCTAACAAGAGGAGGAACAAATAGACCAACGTATTCACTCGTGTTATATGATGTAGCAAAGAAAGGAGTGAGCTAAGTTAGAAACCAAGAAATGGGGGAAGGAGTAAACCAGGTCATCAGTCCAATTCCAATCATAATAGTCCAATTCCAAGCATTATTGCACACATAACCCTCTTTCTGTCCTGGTCTTGATCTTGTCCCACCATTGCTGGGAACCCTGCTTGCAGTGGATGGTCAGGGAGCCCTTCCAATAACTGGAAGCCCTACATAGTGCATCCACTAGATAGACAAGCTTCCCCCATTCACTGCCAACAGAGCCAGCTTACACAGATTCACAGAATGTTAGGGGTTGGAAAGGACCTCAAGGTGGGACACCTGATGTTAACTTTAAAGGCAGGGCACCTGGTGGTAATTTCCTAATTGTTTTTCACCCAAGGCTGAGAGGAAACCAAGAGGAAGATCTCTCCTGCCTGGCTGTGGGCATCATCCACATATCAACCCTGATTCAGGGCTTGGGGTTTAGATCCCAGCACTTCAACCTGAAATTAATGTGTTCGGAAATGTCTGAAACTTCCCCCCCACCCCCCTGACATAATGAGACCACCTATAATTAGAGGTAGTTCCATGAACACTGGTGGTGTTAGAGTGGCACAGATGGGATGAGACTCAGACCTTCTTGCTTCCAAGACCAAGCATTCATCCTCCACATGTGAGGGTCATTGATTTCCTTTTGATCTTACTCATTTCAGGTGCTCAACCTGTTCCTGGCCTTGCTGCTAAGCTCTTTCAGCGCTGACAACCTCTCAGCACCAGACGAGGACGGGGAGTTGAACAACCTGCAGCTTGCTTTTGCTCGGATCAACAGGGGGCTTCAGTATGTGAAAAGCACAATGTGGAATTTTTGCTGCCATGTCCTCCGGCACCCCAAGACGACGGCTGAAAAGAAGGCGATGATGAAGCTTGCTGCCCAGAATACAGGTGCCCTTAACAATTTTGTGAACAGTCACACAACCGCGGAGCTTGGCAAGGACATGGAGAATCACAAAGAGAACCACACCGAGGATGGACTGAATAAAAATGGGGAGAAACACCTAGCAATTACAGATGATGATTTTATGACCAATCCTGACCTGTCCATTTGTGTTCCTATTGCTGTGGGAGAGTCGGATATCGAGGAGGAAGATGAGGAGCAGAGCACCTTTACAGAAATGGAGCAGGTAGGCAATGAAAATATTGAAGCTTATTAAGATGATCTTTGTTCCCACCCTTGACCTGGATCCACGGCTCATGATGCAAATGTCCTATGACCTAATCCTGCCTTTGATATGTTGTTAACTTCAGAAGAAGTTACAGGTACATATCCAAGAGCAAAATTCAGTCTCCAACAAGAGGTATTCCCTTTCTTTGTATTTGTGCTTGCCTAGATTAATTCTTCTAACCAGAGCAATTAAACCCTTTCTCACGCAGGAGACATTTGATTTTTTCTTCCAGCAGAATCATGGGAATGCTACAGAACAAACCCTTAGGTATTTTGTCTATGAAAGGGGATTTTCTCGGTGTGCAAAGATGGGCAATGGCTTGGCTTGATTTGTGCAGTAAGAATCAAGGGGCAGGTAGCTGCCTTAAAAATAGGAGGCAGAGGCTGGTATGACAAGGCACCAGAGGAAGAAAGAGGATATGTAATCATATGTATTCAGACAGGAAAAATAGTTATTTGCCTGTTCCTTGGTGTGACGTGGCAGATTTTCATTTTCCTCAGAGCACCTAGTAGTAAAGGCTGAAAACTTCATGTTTTCACTTCACTGTGTGGTTCAAAGTGTAAATAGAAAACAAAGAAGACAACTCCTCTTGGGAATGCTTTTTTTTGTCTCCTTCTCCCCCTTTCGACCAGCTTTATCTCTTGGCTCCACTCACCATGTATAGTTAATGTTTCCCAGACCCTCCAGCCTTGATCCAGCATCCTCTGAGGCCAGCTG